TCAACATGAACCTTTCATGACTTTTGTTGTAGAGTTCATCTAGAGTCATTTGGGCAAGGTTGCAAGGTTTGGTGAACAATCTAGAATTCCATTCACTTTATAAAACGATCCAAGCAAGGACATAACTTGTCATTTCATGTGACTTCTTGATTCCAAACTTCACGAAACTTTTCCATGGATCAATATAGATGGTTATTGATGTGAGACACATGAAGATATTCCAATAACACCACCCAAGCATATATCTTGAAAAGGGGTCTATAGGCGAGCAAAGGTGCAATATCCAAGTTTAGGTTGGAGCTCGTTTCTATAGGTTTGACCTTGACATCTTCATCATCACTTAATATACTATGTTTTAGCTCAAACCCATTGCTTAACTGGTGGCAAACACCTGAGGTGTTACAGGCGCCCATGGCCATGACAGCGGCGGGGGGAGGGAAGGAGGAGGCCGTCACAGACGTGGTAGGGTCTCATCAGAGCAACATGGCTGCGCGCGGTGGAGCTCTAGCAAGACCCTAACACGCCGCTACGTGGCGGTGGGCGGCGGCGGAGCGTCGAGAGCAGAAAGAAGGTACGGAGAAAAATATCGGGTGCTCGGTGCCGGTAAAACACGCGAGTGATGGTTCGACAGCCCTAAAAATGGTTGTAGGCGCTATGCATACTTCCCAGGTCCGCCACTGAGTGTATGCGCCATGGATACCATGTAATTCGTAAAAAAAGAAATGAAAATATAATAAAATAACTATCATAACCTCATAGTTTTCAATATAAATCTAATGTCATCAAATTTGTACCATAACTTGAAATTTATATATCAATAAAAAAATTGTTAATCAAAAGCTTATTTAAGCGATGAGGGTATATATATGCATACGGAAATGATCTGCTTAGGGCGTTCGGATGCTCCCGTTGTCATGGACCGCGACAACCCGACGGCCCACTACGTCTTGCCCTCAACATTCCGCTCCACAAGTCTATAAAAAAATCCAATCCATGACGTTCGGAGCCTGGCTTCACTCGACTCACACGACCTCCACTCGCCGCAGAGACCGCGCTGCCACGGATTCCGACATGATCCGCTCCGAACTCTCCCTCGTAAGTCACAGCCATGGTGGAGGACGCCCCCAAGGTCGCCGCCGAGGGCAGCCAGCCCGTGACCCCTGAGCGATCCGCTGACGCCGCCCTGATGGCTGCTGCGAGCGCCAAGGCGCGCGGAGGTGCTGCTCCTCGTCCTCAACATCTAGCAGCCGTTGCAGTGCACACGCGACGCCGTGGTGCGCTGCCTTAGGTAGATGCTCGTGGCGCCCAGCGTCCTCTCCCAGCTCTACGACGCTGTCCCGAAGCCTGATGCCAAGCGAGTCTGAGGCCTTCGTCGCCACCTCCAAGTCCATCGTCGTCGAGTCCCCGGCCTCCGTCAAGGAGGGGGCTACCGCAGTTCCCCACCGGTAGGCCATGGTTGCCGGCGATGTCTTGTTTTATGTGTGTTTCGGTGTTTCAGACGTAAGTTTTCAAGTGTTTCGTCTGGATGTTGTCTATCTTGCAATAACTATATACGCATGTTGGAAGCATATGTTGCAAATGTTTTAGGTGTTTCAGACGTATGTTGCAAACGTTTCATCTGTATGTTTTAAAAGTAGATCTTTGATGTTGCACATATTGTAATGACGATACACATGTTTCAAGTGTTTCATCTATATCAGATGTTTGTTGCAAATGTCTGGACGTTTCAAAGTAGATCTGGTGTTGCACATGTTGCTTTGGCTATACACGCATCTTTTAAGTGTTTTATCTATTTTAGACGTATGTTGCAAGTGTTTCATTTGTATATTTTAAAATTAGATCTCGAAAAAGCACATGTTGCTGCTGCTAGTGCACCGTCGTGGATCACCGCGTGCCTCTGCTGGTGCTGCTGTTGCTGCGTGCATGCAGGCACGTGAAACGTAGCGGGCTCGGGGTGATCTCGGCGCATGCATGGGCCCGCACGGCCTTCGAAGCAGGATAGGTGCGGGCTCGAGGGAGCTGCATGTGTTAGCCTCGGGTGCGGGAGCACCGTCCACACTAGCGTCCTGGATCAGATGTCCGGACGCTAGCAAATTCGATATGCATATGCACTTATAAACTTTTTAAATTTGACATGAATTTCGCATTCGATTCCTATAGGATTCGGGGACAAATTCGAATTGCACACGTTTGTTTTTGACCCAATCTGTAGCCACGTTAGCGTCTCGTGAATTTCTCCATTTTTCAACGGAACAAACGAGAAAGCACTCGTCATCTCCACTTTCTTTTTAACGCCGGACGCCTGCGCTAGTCAGCTTCCTTCAGTTCTCCACTTCCTTTCTTCCCATCGTCTCTTCTCCCGTCTCTCACCTCGCGCTCGCCGCGGCTAACCCCAGGTACCCAAACCCAAGCCAAGCTATCGTTGCCTAAAACCAAGCAAGCTGGAGCGCAGGAGACCCAGCCGCTCTCCCCGCATCGGCTGCGCTCCAGGTGAGAATGCGTTGGAGCAAACCCTTCTTCTTCCTCCCCCAATCTATTGCCCCCCTTTAGCAAAGCCCTCGAATGCTAGCTTCGATTTGGGGTTACCTCCGTTCTGGTTCATACTTCGATTCATGGCCTTTTCCTGGGATGAATGCTCGTGTGCTCCTCAAATCGATTTTTGGTGCTGGTGGAAGAGGGTTTTACAGACGACGAACACATTTTTGGGGTTTTCTTGGACCTTGTTCTCTCTCTCTCTCTCTCACACACACACACACACACACACATTTTGGGGTTTTCTTGGACCTTGTTCTCTCTCTCTCTCACACACACACACACACACACACACACATTTTGGGGTTTTCTTGGACCTTGTTCTCTCTCTCTCTCTCACACACATTTTTGGGGTTTTCTTGGACCTTGTTCTCTCTCTCTCTCTCTCTCTCTCAAACCGCAACCTTTGCTGAGTTAGCATAAGCTCGTGATTCCAAGGTGCTCTGGTTTTCTTGGTGCTCTGTTCCTGAAGTCACCGCTTTTATTTACAGGATATAAAACCCCAATCCGCCGAGCCAATCCATTATATAAGCAGCTGTTGATGATGTAGCGATTGTATGCAGCCAATAACTGGTTAAATTATTAGCCATCTTCTCATTCAGCTGCATGTCTGCATCCCACTCGATGACTCACTGGTCAGCTCAATGAGAGTGAGAAGTACTAGGAGTGAATTGTAATGCCGTGGGACGAGAAGGAGACAAGCAAGTCCCACCTTCCTCAGTTCTTGGCTGAGTAGGAGGACCACCAAGTTACCCCCGACTCATCCTCTTCTCTCCCCTGAAAAGAGTTGAGGTAAGCTCCTAATTTCCGCCATATTTTCCCAAAACACCAAGTCAAATTGCGGCAACTATGGCTATATATAGCTATAGCATTTCATTACTGTTGGAAAACTTGTTGGTAAAAGGCTTAACCGGAGATTAAAATCATTGGTCCCAATGATGCATGCACTTATCTATAGTTTAAACTTCATAAATTAAGGTTTGGTGCCATAGTATTTTTTTCTAATTTAGTGATTTGTGATGACAATATGTTTCCTTAGGGTTTGATTTTGGTCCTTTTAGTTAAAAACAAGTAGGATTGTAGTTTGAACTAGAATCTTAATATCACTAATTGACGTCTTCAGCGAAAGCTTCACGATACATAGGCCCTATTTGTTTCGTTGAAATTTCGCTTATGCTGATGCTTATGTTGATTTGTTGCCCCTATTCCTCATGAGATGTACTAGGAAAAATGATAAAATTCTTACAATAAAAAAAACCCAGACAACTTTAATTTGGTAGACTCTAAATCATTGTCCTCAATAATAGTCATTTGATCTAGACTTTTTCCTATAAAAAAAAGGAATGATGTGATAAGATCTGATATAACTTAAGGTTTCAACTAAATTAAATACATATTAAATACTCATTGAGGTTCAATGCAAAGGATGAAAACACATATATCGTACTTGACACACTCATCACAGCCGAATAGAGACTATAGAGTATCAAAATGGATATTATGTTAGGAAATGAGGAGAGAATAAATATGATTATTCTGATTGTGTAATTCATATGGTATATCGCTTGTTGGTGAATATACTTTTAGAAATTGGTTTTATGCGTGCAGTATTTGCTTCAAAGTAATAAGTTATATGTGTGATAAGTTTAAGCCAATTTGTTTCGATAGGTATTGGCATATTATGTTGTTAATCCGTTGCCAAAGGGCGCCTAGTTCAAACGGTTAGGTGACCCAGCGGCACTCCTCAGGTCCTGGGTTCCCCCATGGGAGCGGATTTCAGACTGAGGTTAAAAATCCCTCACTGTTTGTCCCCATGTGCCAAAGCGCGAGGGAAGGCTCCAGCACCTCCTCACGCGGTTATGGCATTGCGGCGATTGGGGCGGGGGTTTTCTCGATCTGTGTGAGAAAATCTTCTTCTTAGTAAGAAAAACCTGGGGGCCGTCATAACCCCCCGCAGGTCGAGTTTTTTTTTTATGTTGTTAATCTGTTTTGGTATATCATGATGGAGTATATATTACGGTATTAATCTATTTAGTATGTCCCATATGGTTTTTAATATGATTGTTCTTGAAATGACCATAGAGATGTAGATCATATGCATATGCCAACTTTAAATACTTACATATTTAATACAACCAACCTAATTATTAGCCATCCTCCCATTCAGCTGCATGCCTGCATCCCACTTGATGACTCACTGGTCAGCTCAATGAGAGTGAGAAGTACTAGGAGTGAATTGTAAGGTGCATAGGCTTCTGTTGTGTGGAACAGAAATTCATTTTTTTCTCTTTTGCCATGGCATATGTTGTCCCGGTACAGGGTTTCTGGGATGGGGGATTTCCTTGATTGCAAATAAACGATAGTCCCAACACTCTTAACTGTTCAACGCTGTTTGTGGATTTTAACTTGCGTTGTGTGCCAGGAGCACTAGCGGAGGAGAGCGAGTTGACAGGTCCACCCGATCACAGATGTCTGATCGGTGGTCCTCGAGCACCATGCTGGCTGGAGGGCGAGAGCCAAACTGGATGCGATCCTCTCTCGTCGACGCAGGAGGGTGGCGCCTTCACACCCCAGCAGGAGGATGGGAGCCTTGGGGCACCACAGGAGGAGGCACCAAGAATGGCTCTTCGCCAGGATCGGCAATGGTGCATGATGTGACGGTGGCCGACGAGGACGTCGATGTCCTAGAGTGCGGCATCTGCTACTGTCCGCTGAAGCCACCCATCTTCCAGGTACATACAACCGGTCCTGCTAATCTGGACATACGTGCGTTCGTTCCAGCGTCGTCGATCCGTTTTCCTGTCCTTTATTTGCTTATTACTGTTAAGAGTCGCCATGTATTTGCAGTGCGCCAAGGGGCATGTGGTGTGCTCGCTGTGCTCCGACAGGCTCAAGGACGCCGTCAAATGCCACGTATGCCGCGTCGCGATGCCTGGCGGCTACCAGCGGTGCCACACCATGGAGCGCGTGGTGGACTCCGTCCGCATGCCGTGTCCGCACGCGCCGTACGGCTGCGACACGAGGACTGCATACCACCTCCAGGAGGAGCACCTCCTGGAGTGCCCGCACGCGCCGTGCTGCTGTCCCGGCAACGCCTGTTGCTTCATCGGCTCCGTAGCGATGCTCGTTATGCACCTCAAGGCGGTGCATGGCTGGCCATGCACTGCTGACATCCGTGCCGGCGAGTCCTTTGGCGTCTACCTCCGCGATGGCTTCAACTTCCTCACAGCCGTCCGTGGCAGCACCCAGTACCTGCTCCTGCTGAACATGGCGAGTACACCGTTCGACCACGCTATCTCTGCGGTCTTGGTAGGCTCTCTTGCCGCCACACCGTTCGACCACGCTATCTCTGCGGTCTTGGTAGGCTCTCTCGCCGCCACGGCCATCAGCTCCTCGTCACCGGCGACAAGCAAGAACACCACATGTGAACTCGAGCTCTACTTCATGCAGTTCAAGCATGTCCAGCTCCTCCAGCGTGGGCATTACCAGAAATCTCGGTTCCAAGTTGAATGCATGTGTCCCTCGAATGGGCTGCCAGATCCTGCCAGATCCCAACGCCTCTTTCCAGTTCTTCGTCCCAAAGTATGCTGATGTAAATGAGGCTCCTGTTCATGTCACTGCTATGATTTTCATCTGACCAAGCAGATGGATCGTGGACTAAGGCTGGGCTCTGTTTAATTTAGACATCTTAACTTTAGAATGCTACTAGTTGTCACTTGCGCAACCTCCCATCTTTTAATTTTTACTGCTGTTTACATGCATTCTTATTAGTTCTAAGTACTCCTGATTCTGTAATACTAAATCCGTTCTAAATTATAAGACTTTTTGACTTCTCTATATACATTGATTTTATTATGTATCTAGACACAATGTATATCTATATACATGACAAATGTAACATAGCTAGAAAAACCAAAACGTCTTATAATTTAAAACGGATGGGGTATTATGTATTTTCAGGTAAAGTAAGTCATTCTAAAGTTGACAAAGAGTTTCAACATCTACGACCTTAAAGAGCAACCAAACAGCCTAGTGTCCTTGGATCTAGCATTTTAGTCTGACGATTTACTGTATCCAACATATCGTTTGTGCAATATACTAGTTTTTGTAATGACACTATTATTTTTCTAAGTGCTCCCAAGCTACATTTCATGTTTGAGATCACTTGAGATAGTACATTCAGTCCTCTGAAAATGTTGCCTATTGCATTCGCATTTTCTTCCATACCTAATGTACATTGCACAATACTACCTGTTCATAAGATCTGCACCTTAGAATTCAGTAATGCTGAGGCCCATGTATTTCAATGAAAATGAAATATCATGATTTGGCACGGTCACAACGTACCAATTTTCTATGAAGGTGTAAAATGCACCACATGGGACTCTTGCACTCAACCGAATGGGTAGAGACTAGAGAACAAGATAAGATTCATCATCTATGGGTCGTCTTGATTTCCATGAACAGCATCCAGCATGTATCTTTTGGGAAGACTGCACAGCAGGACCAGAAGTGTAATCAAGAAACTTTTTATACACTCTTGTGTAAAGAAAAACGTATGATGTGAAGTCCAAAGGTGTGGTATGGAGCTTCTTGTTCACAGTTTTGAATATATTACAACATTCATTTCTGTTTGAGGGAGCACACCTGCGACCATTCAACAAATTCCAACTAAAACTTTATACACATCACAACCTTCAAACCGAGTCCAGTATATTACCGGATACGTCCAGCTCATGACATGGTATAAATAAATTGACGCACTAATTTTTACAGCACTCTATAACATAACATACATGTATATGTATTACTCTCCAGTCAAAAAGAGAAGGAAAAAGAAAAGAGAGAAGTGAAGTGAACCCCCAACAAATAGGGGGTTGAAAGGAAGTACTCCACCTGTATCTTATTTGGTTGCCTTCGCCTGATTTGCTGCAACTGACATGGAGCGAAGCCGTCCAGCAATCTCTGTGAAAGCTGGGCGCTGTGCCGGATCTGGAGCCCAGCACTGCTCCATGAGTCTTCTCCACTCCGGATCACATGAAGCTGGCACAGGTGGCCTCAGTGTGTTGTTTACAATGCCCCCTGCAAAGGAGGTTCTAAGTCACGCATGTGCTAACTGATCAAAGGAAAAAAAATAGGATCTTGGAAAAATGAATAAATTCACAGCAGGGGCAAAATCTTCATCAGAAGACAGATGACGTTGAAAAATAAATCAGAATACCAGGGCAACCAAAGGTAAAAGAGTGGAAGTGGTGAGAATAAGAGGTGCATGATAATCCGTTTTTACATAGTCCCATCTTCAACAATTCGACTAAAGGGCAATGTAGACATTATTGACAGCAAAATGATGAAGATTCTAATGGTTGAATACCCTTAACTGTATTCTTTCTGCTTATATCAGTAACAGTAATGTAGAAGCTTCTAACAACAATTCAGTAGCCACCCTCCAAAAAAGTGAAAACCAAAACTGGGTTAGTGCCATGAAAATAACTTTGGTAATAATGTTTAACACAGCATAGGATTTGAGCTACCCAAACTACCAGTCCCAGGCCCAAACCTCCAATTTTATTGGCTGAAGTAATAACTTCTATTGGCCTTTTCGCCCTTTATTTGATCATATAATCATCAACCCTAGAAACTGAACGTCAACAGACAAAACAAAACAAAACAAAACAAAACAAAGGCAGGGCTGAGTATTGAGGTAAGATCATTCTCTGAAACTGAATAGAAAAACATAGGAAACCACCAGTAACATTCTCAAGTCTAAACAAACAATTCATGGACTAATTGTAGGTGATGAATTGTATACCTATAATTGCGCCATAGTGCATATTGGCATATGGTTCTTCGCCAGTGAGGATTTCCCACATAACAATACCGAAAGAAAATACATCAACCTGTACCAGTGGAAACAAACTCAGCACCTTAAATGTAACTTCTTTATACACATAACTGAAGCAGATATGGATATTATTAGTTCTGGAGTAAATGAATATAGTAAGATAAAGGATCACCACATGATAGCAAATTTTATGAACAAGTTTGCAACAAGACAAGGGTGTTTGGTTTGAGGCATCATGTGCGTGTGAGGAATGAGGTGGTGATGGATCAACCCATTCCATTCCTCAAACCAAACAAAAATCTGAGTGGAACAAAATGGATCACCTCATCCCATAAACCAAACACCCCCTAAAACCACAGCTGAAAAGACCCAAGAACTATGATTATACCTTCTCTGACACCTTATTGCTGCTTCCATTGAGTAATTCTGGAGCCATCCATGGGAGAGTCCCTCTCACACCTCCTGAAACCAAGGTATTTCTTTTTATTTTGGACAAGCCAAAGTCACCAACCTGTATATAAATCATAAATTCACCACATGAGTATAATGCAAAGTAATTGAAAATCATGCACAATACAGTTATACAATAACACTAGAGATGGAAGTGATGCTCACTTTACATATGGGACGTGATTGATCTTTAAGATTTACGAGCAAGTTATCACACTTCAAGTCAAAGTGCACAATATTTTTCGAGTGCAAATATTCCAGGCCAAATGCAGCATCCATTGCTATGATAAGCCGCTTACGACGATCGAGATATCTGTCCAGGAAGAAAGCATTTTGTTACTCACAGTAAATAATAAGTGAAACCAAAGTAATCACAGGAAGCAATTACTTGTCCTTGCGCTGCAAAACATGTCGAAGAGAACCATTAACCATGAACTCAGTCACGGTTGCCAATGTACCACCTGGCCCATCTTTCACAACGCCATAAAATGCCACAACATTTGGATGATGAAGCTTTGAAAGAATTTCAGCTTCTCGCCAGAATTCGTGCGCCTAAACAACCAAGCAAGGAAGTAAATTTTGATGAACCAGTTGTCAGCCAAAGGCTATTTGCTTATTGAGATACTTTAAACCATATTGATCAGCATCAGGCCAAAGTGGTGCCATGTCTGGTTTGGTGCATGTAGCAATTGTTAATACATGACATAGGTCAAGAGTTGTTATACTGCAATAGTGCTACAACCTTTCATCCAATGGCCTACTGCCAAATTACTCCAAAAATGGATATAACATCTGAATCGTAGATGTACAAAAGTGGTGGTTCAGAGCTTACTAGTCTTTCTAGCTCTGAAGACCGTCCTGTGAAGCAGCTTTTCTTTATTCTCTTAATGGCTACATCACTGCCCCTCCATTTTCCATGGTATACAGTTCCAAATGTGCCTGAACCAAGTTCCCTAAGCTCTTCAAGGTCTTCATTCTTGATAATCTGTGGAGAATGTTCCTATGTTCAGTACTCCAATATGATAGCTTAAAAAAGAAATTAATCAAATGAGTATACAGCTCAATGGTGTACCAGCCTACCAGGCACAACTATTGGACATTCTGGACAGGATGCAAATAAAAATTCAAAAAATGATGCAAATAAAGGTGCGGTATCACACATGCACAACTAAATCCTAGAATACAGTAGCAAAAGGGGATAGTATCTCATTAAGATTAATAAATGCTCTAATGTCCATTCTAGTCCATTGACATTACCAATTTGATGTGAATAAAAGGAGAATGTTCTCTGAAGCAGATTATAAAAATAAAATAAAATTAAGGAAAATGTTAGTTTACAACTCGCCTCAGCAGAATCAAATCAAGGTACCCACACCCACATGTATAACCTCACTGTACCAGGTTATCTATGTGTACAATTAAACTATCACTAGATACTGTACTTTATAGTGGCTTTACTTAACAGTTTCACAGAACTACAACATTTTGAACACCCTAACGGAATGGTTGCTTGGTATTGGATGCCATTTAATTGAAATAGCATCCGGTGTCTCCTTTTTTTCCCGTATAGATAGAAATTGGACGATTAATAGTATTCGGTATCGATCTTCTATTATCGGCTAGGGTATAAAATGCAGTAGATAATGTCAACTAGGGTTCAAACCCCATAAATTCAACAGCTACGAGGCAACTCCTTCAATCCTACTATCTCAAGTACATTGCATGTTTCTCTCATGGATTCTGCAAAAGCTCATTTTCCATATTACTGCTGATTGTCATGACAACATGATAACCACAACAAAAGCATTTTCTTTTCAATATGCTGACTTCAATGCCATGTTGATAAAAGAGGTAACAGTTCTACGACAGCAAAGGTCCAGTCTAAATACTTTTGAATCTGTTGATATGAACCTTAGAAACAAGAGGAGACTTTAGTTCAACTATTGCTTGATCTGACTTACAGAGCCTCCTCTAAGCAAGAGTGTACCAAAAAAATCCAACATAAATATAAAAAAGAAAGCTAACAAAACAGTGAAACACTATCTATAGTTACTAAGGGATCACTAAACATTAAGTTAGATCTAAACAACAAAGGCTTAAGAAACTAAATCATAGCTGGCTACCTCCCTGCATAACGTGTCTAACAGTGTGATACTGTTAAAGCAAAGTAGCACTACTGATGTGGCATGAGTTAAAGGGATAAATGCCTATGGAGCAATCCATCAGTTCTGGACATGGAACATCTGTTGTAGGGTGAAGTGATTGATCACCCGCCTGGCCACATCCAGTTGCTCCTGGATGTGACAGAACGCCCTTGTCTTTTACCAATTTATTAATGGAGAGGGGTGGGGGGGTGGGGGAGGGTTGTCCGGATTTGCTATTTCTAAGTGCATAATAGGCAGCCATTACAGGTTTAAGTGCAACTAATTGACCTACTAATAAAACTTTAAAAACATATTTGGAAAGTGGAAACGACGATAATCAACTAAACTTACTCCCCTTGATGTGCTTGCTTCAAACTGAAGCAAACTGGTGTAGATGGCGCTGCCATGGTTAATGTGACACTTTTTGCACATATACTTTCCAATCAAACTGAGTAGGGGTGAAAACAGGATGGATATTTCCCGACTATCCATCCGTCCAAATGGATAATCCGTATCTGAATCAGGACATTCAATATCTGTACCATATCGCCCGATATCTAGTATGGATATGGGATGGATACCAATATTCAATGCATCTGACACTATTCATATCCAACTCCGAATCTAAGAAAAAAAACAACTACCATATTCGTATCTGTACATATCCTTTTGTATCCTATCCGATTTCATCCCTAAATCTGAGTTGTCCCCTTGATATGACAGCTTTCATTTTCTTGGGTTGGTAGGACAGTATATTTTAGTGATCATGTAAATGCAACCTGGAATGACATCATGCGAAGAGAATAGTTTGGAATGAATAGTTCTACCACAATTCTACCCCTTGACCCTTGGGAGCCACCACATCAATGCTTTGGAAGATCTCTGCACAATCGGCAAAGGCACAAAGTAATGTACACATAATGACATAGAAATTGCCTAGTGCAGCTCATGTGAATCATGAGTTCTTGACCCTCTGGTATACCAAAGCGATGAAGTGAGCCTACTTGGGGTATGTCAACAAACATCATTTTGAATATTCACTACAAAACAAAGGAAGGTGCCCTCCCAGACAACCAACTTGATTTCAAGGACTGCAGAAGGCCATTTTGATCTAGTTGCGTTGGCAGAAGGTTGTGGAGGCGCCTCTAGAGATAATAGAGGCATCGTCACAAAAAATCTAGGTCTACTGGGTGCAAGTCAGGGTCAAAGGTAGCTAAAAATGAGGGTCGAATGGGGCAGTTAGGGTCGAATGACCCAGGTCAATGGACAATGTATAACTTGCTCCTAGAAGGTAAGATTGATCACAAAGACAGAAAAAAAAAAGAGGGAAAAAGATAAAAGAAAGGTTAAATGCGTGGTTGACTGGGTGTGTGCTGGCCATACGACCCACAATTGCAACCCTAAGCCTCCTATCATCTCGAGCCCTCTCATGAATCGTGACTAACAAACAAGTAGCCACCGCCTCTAGTCCATGTTTGCTGCCTTGCTTTCTTTCATTTTTTTCTCTTTGTTCTCCTGCGAAAGTCACAAATCAATCACCCATTGCCACACACCATGACTAGCAAAACATATTGCTCATGGATCCCTCTTCCCTGATGCGCTCTAAGTTTTGTCCATGGTTTCACGCTTTGCTATGATGAGGTGCTAGCAGCTGTCCAATGTGCGAACAATCGGCCATGGGTGCTGTAATGGAGCATCATCACAGACAATGAGGAGACGGCGATGCCACGACCAGGCCTCACTAGGCAACCAAGAACCCCAAGTGTATGACGATAATCTTCATCTACACCTTGTCCCGTCTGGAAACCCAGCAGCAATGGGGCAATGGCCAGTCCAGAGTTAGGACGCACCCATCTTAAACCCCTACAGCAAGGCATGATTAATTCAAAATCGGGACATCGACACATCTCGTCCGCAAATCGGCAATTCAGGACGGCATCACAAGGACGAGGATTGCGCCAGGCCTAACCCCCTGTCACCTATGACTGGAGGTTCTTTTCAATGCCTTCACACCATGTGCCATGTGGTTCAATGAGTTTACGGCTAGTCTGGTCTGTGTGACTGTGTGACATAAATATTTCATTAATGTGCAACATGACATCATCCACCTCGGCCCAAGCGTTGTTGGCCTCTCATGCCCCAATCCCCATGTTGGCATGCACAATGATTATTCCAAGGTCCAAAGCATTTTGTCATAAGAACATCAAAGATAGCAAAGTTGGGAGGAGCTTGGATTATAGCACAAAGAAAGTGATAAATGTGGCACATGCAACATAACATCATGTTGTTCGCATTGACCGAGGCCTTGTGAGCCTCTCTCATTGCCATCTTGGCACACACAGTGATGATTTCAAGGTATGTAGACATTCCCCATTCGGCATAAGAGCATAAGAAATGGCAAAGTTGGGAGTAATTTTGGTTCTATATCACAAAAGAAAATGATAGCAAAAGGTCGATCGTTGCTTGCCTTGGCCTCCTGCTATGCCAAAGGGGTTTGGTCTTCACAAACATGGTGGCATGGGAAGTTCCTTTCTTATTTATACCCCATTTAAGACCACAATATGATATTTTTGTAGGTTTAGACACCATTAATTGACCTACCAAGTTTAACAAAATAATCTTGCAAAAGAATGCCAATCAATTTAAACCTAACCACCTCATATCTAACTTAGTAAATTTTATCTCCCCTTAATCTATCGCTTTCAAGGCGAAGCAATTGGAATGGCTGGTGTTGCCATGGGCCATGGCTAATGTGGAAACGAGCTTGGGCCCACACTTGTGTTGATATCTATACATGGTCGCTTCTCTATCATTGATTGAAAGCTCATTCTATGAACATGATGCAGCCAGGATAAGTCCTTGGAGGTAAGACTAGGTAGCATGATTGCAACAAAATACAATGCATTAGGGATATCATACCCTACATGCTGATATTAGCAGGGGTTTGGTGCTTGGCCAAGGAAAGATGTCTACTTGGTATTTTCAGATGACGAAGATGTCACTGACTCGCTAGAGCAAGAAACCGCCCTAAGGGAGCAGATGAGATCTTCCAACATGACATGTTGCACATTGTGCTAGGCACAAAAATGTCATGATTTGAGGCATGGTACCCTTCATGCTCCACAATATGGATGTCAAAGCTGTGGCTCACATTGCCCTTTCGTCGGCACTGCCATCATTAGTGGCATGGATAACGCAGAAATACTTCACGCCTACTACAATTATATTCCAATAAAGCATCACATTTTTCATGATGAAATTCATCTTATCTGAGAGCGAATAGGTCTCGGGGATTGATTGATTGATTGATTAACAGTAGTACATGGTACAATATATATAGGCAAGGATCAGTAGGGTTTATAGAAACACCCAATCAACGGTGATCCTTGCCTTATCAATGTAATCTATCTATCTTAACCCCTAAGGCAGCCAGCCTAACAGAATAGGCGCCAGGCCCAAGGCCAGCCCATTAGGGCGCCTATTCTAACACGCCCCCGCAGTCGAATCGTCAGCCACTCTGCACGTTTAGACTGGACCTAAACTCCGTGAAAACTGAAGTAGGCAGCCCTTTGGTGAAGATATCTGCATATTGCGAAGAGGTGGGAACATGCAGAACACGAAGATCACCAACGGCGACTCGCTCCCGGACGAAGTGAAGATCGATCTCAATGTGCTTGGTGCGCTGATGCTGAACCGGGTTGGAGGTCATGTAGACGGCACTGATGTTGTCACAATACACTAGTGTGGCGCGTCGTAGAGGAGCATGCAGCTCCAGAAGTAGCTGGCGGAGCCAAGTAGCCTCTACAACTCCGTTGGCCACCGCGCGATACTCGGCTTCAGC